AGTGAATTGTATTCAGCATACTTTGAGTACAAGTGAATTTTATTATAATCTACTTTTGAGAATATTATTCATAAAATATAGCATTTCTGATGAAAGAAAATGTGTGTATCTGAAATAGTTTCTATGAGTGTTATAAATAATCCAAAATAATCATCTTATTTGATTTTATTTTTGTCACATATATACATTACATATTTACATTTTGCATATTTATGCTTCCAAATTATGCTAGATTTAATGTGATGATAAATTCAGTTTTAATTCCTGAATCTTCTCTAGATGAATGCCGTTGTGGGGGGAGGGCAGGGAAATGAGGGTTTGGGGTGGGGTTGAAGGCAATACTGGGACATTTTAAGCATAGAGTCATGGTGATACATGTACAGGTCTCTGATTTTCCATAGACACTCCATCACAGCGGGTACAGTTTATCCTCGGAACTGAGGATGATGACGAGGAGCACATTCCCCATGACCTTTTCACAGAACTGGATGAGATTTGCTTGCGTGAAGGTGAGGATGCTGAGTGGCGAGAAACAGCCAGGTGAGGATTTCTGTTGAAGGGAGAAAGTAAAATGAAGAATTTTCATGTTACTAAAAAAAGCGATTCCTAATGTGATGACTTTGTAAACATCCCTGATTGTTGCTGATTTCTGAAGTTGCCTCTCTGGCCTGGGCATTTTCTATAATGGGATATGGGTCAGAATGAAATCTGAAGGCAGTAATTACAGTAAACAGTGATACAGAGCCAGCAACAGCTGCAGCCTTAAAGATAAACAGTAACATAATTTGTGTGTCATCCATAGAACAATAGAAATCCAAAAGTAATTTATTTCGGTCTTCTCAGCTGCTGGTTTGTGCCTGAATAAGTGAAATTATATCATAATTTGAGTTTTTTTTTCATTTACATGTTAAGAAAATTTTTACCATGTGGAGAAATTTATAGGGTTTGTTTTTAAAGAAAGGGCAAATATGATGATAAGAGGTTTTAGGTATAATCCTGGATTTCATGTACTATTTGGTGAGGATAAAAACATTTTGTAATGTAAATATTTTGTAGTATGTTTCTGTGATATGTATACATTTATACATAGTGATCTTTCAAATGTCTTTTTATAAATTCTCTCATATCATTTGTAATAAATATTTCTATATTGCCACACAACTGATAAAAAATGTAGCAAATTAAACTTTGTGCTTACTTTTCATTTGTTCTTCTTCATTTGTTCCTCATAAAACATATTTATAGACTATCCATTATGTTCCAGATGGAATGGGTATAGGACAACAACAATAAGTCTTAGATCTTGCCTTTAACAATCCTACTGTCTAATTTAGAAAAGTAATAACAAAGTTGTAAATGCTTTATAAATAATACTATGATGCAAGTCCACTCAAGGAACTGTGGGCACACATAGAGTTGTCATTTACCACTGCTTTCCAAATTTTAACAAGAACACTGAGCACTTAGGGTCTTGTGAAAATGTAGTTTCAGTAGGCCTTAGGTATAGTCTTGGGTCCTACATTTCTAATAAGCTTCCAGGAGATATCAAGGCAAATGTTTTTGGTGAGTAGGCCACTTTTTTAGTAGCAAGTATCTAAATTAAAAGAGTGGAGAGAGGATCAGCTTAGTTTCCCTGGTAGTTTCCCTGATTCCTGAGCTGGCTTTTGAAGGTTGAATTGGAGGTAGCTAGGCAGAAAAGGAGAGGGGGCAGATATTAGGCAGAGGGGACAGGATGTGCTTGAACACATCTTTGGCACAAGTTTTATTGTTTCATGGGCAAACCCTCCTAGGATCAGACAGCTCTAATTGTTGGAAATTCTTTCAGCCGAACATATTTGTTAGTGGTACTTAGATTGCAATAGCTTACTGAAAGCCACAACGCTCCGTTAGCTCATGTTAAACTGTAACTGTATTTAATCATTGCCTTAGCTCTATCTGTTCAGAGTAACTGTGGAATGAAATGTACAATCACGATAATGAATATCATGAATGATACCAGCCTAGTTTATTTTTGTTTGTTATATTTTGAGTGCCATTATTTAAAAAAATACTAAAACTTAATGGAAAAAAAGAACAAAATGGCTCTCATCTAGTAAATTTCTCTTAACTAATAAATAAACAAACTAATAACTACTTGTATTTAAAATTAAGAAATTATAGGATGGCATAAAATAAAAGTATTCCTTTACCCTTACTTACAGTATTTCTTTTAAAAAACAATTACTGCTAACAGTTTCTTATGGGTTTTTTTAAAAAAATAATTATTTTATTTTATTTAACTTTATTTATTTATTTATTTTGTCAGAGAGGGACAGAATGAGAGTGAGAGAGAAAGAGAGAGAGAGAGAGATGGAAAGTGAGAAATCAAGCCACCAGATTGGGGCTCGAACTGCGGTCAGCTATATGGGAGTCCAGGCCTTTAACCATCATAGCACTTCCCAGCCTCTCTTATGCATTTTTATAAAGAAAAATGTATATCCATATCTGCATGTAAATGCATGCCCTCTTTAACATTTTTTTTTTGAGAGGTTTTTACTATAGGGCACGTGTACTCGCCAGCCAGCCAGAGAGAGACAGAGAGACAGAAAGCGAGAAATCACCCCCTGGGGGGATGGCCACGCCGCAATCCCTTCTCCTCCATTCTCCTCTCGGGATCTTAGGCATGCACACACACGCGCCCAGTGTGAGTTTAAGCCACCAGGTCCGGGACTTGAACTGTTGTCGACTACATGGGAGTTCAGCGACATAGCCATTATGCTAACTGCCGGCCCCCTCTTTAAATTTTTTTTTTTTAACTTTTCATTTATTTATTTGACATCCAGTCACTGTATATCATTACGGCACATCAAATGAATTTTACCATCATGAATACAAATATTGGTTCATGCAAAGATATTACCATGTACATTATAATCAACAGATTTCTTTCCATTAAGAGTCTCTTAAATGTTTTGTTTCTTTCTTCTTCCCCTTGATTCTCTCCACCTCATCCTCCTCCATTTCTCACCCTCCTGCACTGTCTCCTGTATCCCATTACTTTCTCTCTTTCATAGTCTGGCTAGCTTTGCTTAGCAGTAAACTTTCCATGTTCATCCACTTTCTGTCAAATGCCAGAGTCTCGTCTTATTTTATTTTATCTTTTTTAAATATACCTAAGTAGAATTCTGTATATGTTCCCCACTTTTTCAATCTATTCATCTGTTTGTGGATATTTGTGTTGGTTCCACAATCTTAACAATTGTGAATAATGCTGCAATAAACATGGATATACAAGTGCTTTTCTGTCTGAGCGTTTTCCTATCCTTTGTAATGGAATTGCTGGATTGTATGGTAGTTCTATTTGTAGATCTTTGAGGAACCTCCATATTGTTCTCCATAGTGGTTGCACTAATTTACATTCCCATCTACAGTGTAGGAGAGTTCTCTTTTCACCACAGCCTCATCAATACTTATCATTCTTTATTCTTTTAATCTTAGCCATCCTGAATAAAGTTAGATGATATCTCATTGTGGTTTCTATTTGCATTTCCCTTATGATGAGGGATATTGAGCATTTTTTTCATAAGGTTTTGTTTGTTTGTATGTCTTTCTTAGAGAGTTGTCTTTTCAGCTTATTTGCCCATCATTTAATTGGGTTGATTATTTTTTGGGGAGTTAAGCTGTTTGTGTTCCTTTTATATTTTGGTTATACATACCTTCTCTGAGGCATAGTTTGCAAATATATTCTACCATTCCAAGGGTTGTCAATTTGTTCTTATTATCATTTCTTTCACTGTATGCCTTTTTAAAATCTTGACAGATAGCTAGCGTTTTTTTTTTTACATAATAATTGCTGCAATGTTTATTTACACATATTTTGCAATTATTTTTAGGTATTTATGTAGGATGAATTTTTAGCAGTGAGATTTATGTACCAGAGATAGAAGCCATTTTTTTACTTTGCTAGGTACTGAAAATTTACATTCATATAATGTATCGGTAATTTGTACTCCCACCAACAATGTATGAAAGTGCTTATTTTCACCCAAATGTTTGCTACACTAAATTATCAAGCTATAATTTTATAGACTAGATGAATAATCCTAAATCTCATTATTTCATTTTCTGTAATTATTAATGAGCTCCAACATCTTTTCATGTATTTTAATGTTTTTCCTATGAATGAATTGTTCATTTACTTTACCCATTTTATGTCAAATCATTTATTATTGCCTCCATTTGCCTTTTTCTGAATACTTGAAATGAGTGGTATGCATTACCTCTTTAATGAAAATTATACATAAATTAATCATTTTTTATAGTGCTTTCTATTGTGATATTTTAAATATAATTTAAAAATAGGCTTTATACAACCTGGTAATTTTTTTTAAAGGTTTTGCCATAGGGCACATGCACTCACTGGAGAGAGACAGAGAGACACAGTGAGAAGGAAAGTGAGAAATCCCCAGGGGTTATGGCCACACTGCAATTTCTTCTCTTCCATTCTCCTCCTGGGATTTTAGGGATGTAGGCACACATGCCTGGCATGAGTTTAAAGCTGATAGATCTGGGACTCAAACTATAATCATCCATGTGGATTGATCTGGGACTCAAACTATAATCATCCATGTGAGATACCAGTTCCTTAACACTACGTCACCTGTTGGATCCTAACCTGGTAAATTTTAAGATTAAGAATCTCATAGCTTATTTTTTTCCCCAGTTGTATCCAGGACTACATATGAGTTTCAAAAATACATAATATATATGTTCATCTTTATTTGGTGTCAGAAAAGCAACATCTAATCAAATTAGTGATATAATTTTTCATCTTTTGTCATTAAAAAGTTGTTGATAAGGAAGTTAAGGGACACACTTCCTTGTTTAGGACTAGAAGCATCTGTCTTGCACTGGTTAACAAAAACAGGTTTTCCTGGGTAACTTGAAGGAAGAAGACCTGGTGGTTAGTCATTAGCCTGTTATGGTTAATTAATGGTCAACTTCAATTTTTTTTTGCTAAGAAGTACTTTATGGAAGCATTTTTGAAAGTTTCCTTTCTTTCCTTTCATCTTACACAATAGAACCAAGAACAACATTGAAATATGTATCTTACCATGAGTAACTCCCTTGTTTTTAACATGGTGAGTGAGTTTTCCTCTTCCAGATCAAATAGTGATGTGCTCTATTTAGCCAGTAAGTTTCTACTTACTTGCCCACTCTCATAAAACTAGGAAGTGACAGAAGCAACACTAGATTCTTATTCTCTCACTATGTCATGGTCGAGTTTGTAGGATTTTATCATGGTCTTCTAATGGGTGAACTTGAATAACATGCTACCCTAAAACAACCAAAATGTATTACTTTCTAAAATAAAGAATGAAAGAGATGAAATCCAGTTAATTACTGGTATTCTCTAATGTTACATAGGACCTGTGATCCAAGCCGTGCTTTAGAAACCTTATGCATAGTGCAGCTGTTTGAGGTTCAGGAAGACATCTGATGAGCAATCAAAATAGTAACAGACATTGAAGAGGAGGGTAGATGAATTTTGGCTGAGGCAC